GTCTCGTGCGAGTCTTGAGTCTCAATGAACAGTAATTTATGTCTTTGTATGTTATCGACAATTCCCTGTTCATACCAAACGGACACAATCTGTTCCATATAGAGATAACTCGTGAAAAAGCAAACCAAACCGTCCGGAACTATAGCTGACATCTCGACCAATAGAGTGCCATAATTCCTGATGACTGACATATCATTCCTACTCTCGAACTTCGAAGTGACGGCCATTTGATCGTTACCTTTGGTCACAATCATCGGAAGAATGCATTGACGCGATAATGTCATCGTCAACGACACGGCCAGCACTGGCCTGAAGTCAAGTATTTTTGGGTACATTTCTAATGGCGAAAGAGTTCCCGAAGTGATGATCACAGACTGGAATCTCTCAAAAACAGGTTTTATAGCAATGGAAGCGTCTAAACAACTGAAGTGAAGGATTGGGTTGGAAATGGTTGGCGTGCGGTCGTCGAAGGGCTCAATCAATAGAGTGAATCCTTTGGTGTAAGTGCTGACCAAAGTGGCAAAATTGCACAAAAGGGTCAGAGGAGTGAAGTCTGTGATATCCGACACCTCCAGAGTTCTGATTAGCGAACGCAGTCTTTCGGCACAAAATCTTAAGGGCTTTCTTTCGATGCAGACTTTGGTGGCGACGTCTTTGAGGAAAGCGGCCGGACTTTCTTGTGTCACGTGTTGGACACGGAGTCGGGACTTAACGTACTGAAGAAATCGTTTCAGAAACGCTACGAAATGTTCGGCATTTCGGATGTTTCCGGGAATGGCTTCCTGTAGTATATCATCCGGCAGAACCGGATTCGCTAAGAATTGGTCCGCTTCTCGGGCTATGTTTGCCTCTCGGAGTCCTTCAACTAATCTCTGATATTCTTGTTTGAGTTTCCTTTCGTCCACTTCTTTGATCGAACGGATCGTCTCTTGCAATGAAGTGATGTTTGTCTGACATCTATCTAAAAGACGTTTATTGATGGTAACACTCATTGATTCGATGCACACGTTGTCTATATTGTGGGCCTCATCGAAGACCACCACTGAGTTCTTGGATAACTCTTTGGACACAATCTCAGCGATCTTGGGGTCCAAGAGATAGTAATAGCTGTAAACGACAACATTTGCATAAGTGATGGCATAACGGGTCAGAAAATAAGGACATAAGCCTTTCGATCGGCCAAAGCTCTTGAGGTCATCGATATTGTAGACACCGTTTGGAAGTAAGACTTCGCGACCCTTCGCCTCGAAATTCTCATAGAAAGAGCACTCATTTGATTGGCTCTCATCTGAATCGGACGCTACTCTTCGGTGAGAAGCCGTTAAACTAAAGCACTTTCCGTCCACTGATTTGCCATCTTTTTCTCTACTCACCACCGGATGAATACATAGATTCTTCCTCGAAGTCAGACACAAACCAAGAAAATTGCTTTTGTTTCGATCGCTGGTCGACAGCTTCTTGTAGTAGTCATTCAAATGTCGCAATTCTTGTATGACTTTCTCAATCTCTGGAACAGTTCGCGAGCAGTAAATCAGTTTTGAGATATCGTTTGGTCGCTGTCTTTGATATGCAATTATCAAAGCCAATAGAGATATTGTCTTTCCGGTGCCGGAAGGCATCTCCAGAACTCCATGTCCTCTGGCGTCCAGACATTTCTTGAGTTCACACATATATGAGTACTGTTCCGGATATATGTAGTCATACGGAAAATACACGTCCAGTCCATCGATGTCTAGCCTTCAAATGGAGTTCAAGATGAGTGACAAGTGTCTTAAGACATGGACTCAACACTTACTTCATTGCTTCGAGTGGTATATGAAGTGGTGTTCAGATTGTCATCAATTGGTTTGCTTTCATAGACTGAACCAAACATAACACCAACTCTTGTCAAACAAAACACATGTTGTCGTCAATTAGGGTTTCCCTCATGAAATGCATTCATATATAGTGTTACAACTATTTCACTACACATTCTACACCAAAATTCTTGTAAACTACCGGTAGTTATGTATCGATTCTGTAATACAGACATAAAAATTATACAATTTACAAATTCTAACCTTTCACCAGTTAATGGAGTTTGTCACTGTGGTCTGGTTTAGATTACTGGCTTTATGAACCACTATACAAACAGTATTATTTAATATGATTTTTTTATTAGAATTATAACTTTTTATTACAATTTCAGTTATTTTTTAGCCATAAGTTTAGTTGAGTACAATAGGTTTGACAATACAATTGATAGTATAAAGTGTGACTGACAGTGAGTGTCAGTTAGTGTTTAGTAAAAAATGTCATATAAAATACGGCAACCAATGATGTAGTGATCAAGCGGTCCATTTAAGACATCTGGTGTCGCGGTGTGTCTTAAGGCAATTGAGACAACAGTAACGCATTCCGCAGTTAACACACGTATAGTTTGACACAAAACCACAAACACTGCAGAAGTGACGCCGAGGAACAAATGACACCCTTTTGTCGGACTCGGAGTAAGGGGTGGGCGGAGGGGCGGCACAGTTGGCATAATAGGCTTCCGGAGTCTTGGAGTCCTCTTCGATGAGGTTATTGATGGTAAGCATCCGAGAGCGCGGCAACTGATGCCTCCTCTGGGCTGAGCTCACCGTTTGAGTGGTCTGTTTGGTGTTGTCCTCGAATTTGGGCGCCTTCTTGTGCATCGAGAGGTTGGCGTGCGGGTCGTCGTGGAAGTTATCCCTCTCTAACTGATCCAATTGGTTACGTCTGCGCCGATTGCGACCGCTTTCGTCCAAAACGCGGTACTGTTGCCGGACTGACGCCGACCCACGACTCGACACAACCACCGATTTGTTCACTTTCGCACTCATTGTCACCGCTATTGATCCCAACAAACACTTGTATTACAGTTAATTGATGTCAATGAACGAGATCTGATCCATGAGATCGTCGATTTGGTTCTTAAGGCTGTCGATGATGTCTGAGGAGATGAAGAGGTGGGTTGAGTCCAAGTCTTGTATTATAAAACGCGTTCCCAAAGCATTGGTTTCGTCCAAATGCAACAAAAACTGTTTCATCTGAGGGTCACATTCAATGAGGATTCCCTTCTGCACGTGAACCATACCTAACTACTCATTGGCATACCTTTCCTCCCGACCCTCTCTATGCAAAACACACTCAAACGCACTGTTAATTCAATTACCGTCTATTGAATCAACGAAAACACGAGTAGTGAAGTGAATGTGGAAACAAATTACGGCAACAAATGTCTGTATTTGGGGCTCAAGTGTGCAGTGAATGGGTGTTTGAATAGGTGTTGAGTGAATGGCAGTCAATGGACTCGTATTGAAATCACATCGAAATATATGGACGTCTTATGTGTGGCTTTGAATTGAATTAAAAATATGTCGAAAAACAATTGGATTAGGATTTGAAGGGAAATCACTGTTCACTGACAGCTTGGACTGCATTGACTTCATGGACTGCTTTGATGTTTGTTTGCATTCAGTGATCATTGCTTTAAACCATGTGAACATGACTGCAGAAAAGCAGTGACCAATGCTTTTGTCATGAATTGCCACTCATTTGGACACTAATACTCATTTGACACTCATTTACGGCAATCAATGTTTCAACACTTTTCATTCAATTATCAATTGAATTGCATTTGAAGTACAAATCATGAGTTTAATTGTCATTTCGGATGACATTTGAGATTATTTTGCATTTGTTTTGTTATCATATTTGTTGTATTAGTGAGTGATTTGAATGTGATTTCAATGTATTGGTGACACAATTGTCTCAATCGTCCGACTAATCAATGGATCGCATGAAGGATAAGAACGGAACCCAAGAGTCGACGAGTGATCTGTCACTCGAAGAGCGGTTCCAGCGTTTGGAGGCATTGCTATCCATTGGACCGACACTTTTCGACGGGAAGTCCATTAATTGCGAACTACTGTCCGATGTCTTGATTGCCGTCTATTACGAGTGCTTCAGGTTTGCCATCATTTGCTTCTTATGACACTTTGACACCA